GTGGCTGCTGAAGGCACTCGCTTTCCCTGTGCTCTCCCCATAACCCCTCCCTCCTCGCTCAGGGATTTGTTGAAAAGGAAAGAGGAAAAAAAACCTTCTGAAGGCTTGTGCCTATGAATGTTTTATAAGCTGCTTCAGCTTTGATTGTGAGGCAGCGTTTTAATCAAAGAGCAGTTAAACCCAGCAGAGAAATTTGCTTGACTAAAATTTATAACCGATTCCCTTGACGTTTTGTTAGAAACAGATATGTTTGGTAACCAGAATGACTTCATTTAAATGAGGCATCCCAAATTCACTGTCACCGCGACGGAGCTGCTTGGTGCCTCCTGTCACCGCGTGCCGCGGCTCGCTCTGAGCCAAAATGCTTTCTGCTTCGCCTTGTCTTTCGGGCCGGGGCTCGAGCCTCGTGACTGGGGGGAGACTGCTCATTTAGTGCCAGAGGAGGGTGGGGAGAGGGAAGGGGCAATGGGGACATTATCGTGGTGCATGGGTGGATGCCAGCGCACCTGCCCTCGCTCCGAGCATTCTGGGTCTCAATGCCACGGTGCCACTGGCCGTGGCGAGAAGCTGAGGTTAACGCAGCCTCCTCAGAGGCAGGGCTGGCTGCTTGGAGCCCCCCCCCGAGAGGTCTTGTGCACCTCCTCTGAGAGCAGGGCTCTCTGCCTGTCCCCAGAGTGCAACGCAGTGCTGGCGCAGGACATGGTACTGCGCTTCGCGCATCCGTGGCACACAGTGGCAGCAGCGGCTGAGGGACGCTTGTGGCTCTCTTGCTCTTAAACCCTCGGTCTGGGTTGCAGCAAGGGCTGCGCCTTTCTTTACCCCAAGCTTGTTGCATCTCTTAGGGGTTCCCTGCACTGAGAACGACTACAAGCTGTGGTCACCCTCCGATGAGCGAGGCAATGAATGCTTACTGGGGCATAAAACCATTTTCAAAAGGAGGACTCCTCATGCGACCTGTTTCAATGGGGAAGATTTTGACAGGCCTGTCATGGTCTCCAACTGCTCTTGTACAAGGGAAGACTTTGAATGGTAAATACCAATTAATTTCTTTTAGTCTGGATTGTAAGTCTGAGATAAATATCTGTGACCAATCGCTCAAAGTAAACAAACATCCAATTTACTTAGCTCTTTGTATCGCTGCTTGATTTTATAGCAGAGGGAACTAAATAGACTGAAAACATCCTTTCATTAATAATGGGGCATGAGACTTAATTAATGTCTTTAGAGCCTTTCGGGAGCCTCTGAAAGTTCTATAGAAGAGGAAAGTATTGTTAATCCATCACCTTCTTTCAAACAATGATGGACAATTGCCCATCACGTACAGAGATCCTCCACTAAAACACTTAGAGACCCTTTAGCTGCAGGGATGCAACTGGCCCTGCTGTATCATTTTTATCTGCGATTTGCACACTACTGACACCGCACAGCTCTCAGGATTAGGAGACGCTCTGGCAAACTGATGCAAACGTTTGGAGTGAGTAGGTGAACTGTGTTTCAGGGACTGGACTTTCAGCAGAGCTCACAGCCAGACCTCTGGAGTGCCCAGTACACACAGTTAAGAACAGGGGTTCAGACCTGCCTGTCAAATGCCAAGACAGAGACTGGAAAGGAGTCTGCCTTGTCACGAGCAGACTGGGAACAGGGCTGGTGGGATCTCATTCCTGCCTCAGAATCGCAGCCCTGGGTTCCCTGCAAAATCAGACTGATATAACCTCTTCCAGGGCGTTTTCCAAAGAGCAGATGCAGTATAACTCCCATTTCACTGAAAGGAAAAGCCAAGATGCAGACCAGTGACCTACGCAGCTAGCAGGAGAACTGGGGCTTGCAGCCAGATTTTTCAGGCACACTGGCTCGGCTGTGCCTTGCTGCCCCACCCACCCTAGACTGCCTGGCCACTGGCAGGCTTATTTGCAAAACGGTCTTGAAACGTCCTGGAGACAGAAGCTGTCTGGCTGTAAGATATTACTGTGCAGCTAATACCGATAATAAATGAATGGACTTTTGAGATACTTCAGCTCCTAAACACTTCCGTGCAAAAATAGAGGAATAATAGTATAGCATGGCTGCATTTTTTCCTTCTCCCCCTTCCCTCCTTACATCTTTCTTCTCCTTGCAGTGATTTTGGCTTTAAACTGAGCGATGACTTATCGTTAGAAGCTTGTGTCCCTGACCCTGAATTCGCTGGGAAACCGTACGACCCGCCAGTCCCTTGTCCTGTTGGCTCGACTTACAGGAAGACTCGAGGGTATGTGTTGTGCTTGAGAGGGGAACCTGATCTTCCAAATGCTGAGATTTATCCTATTGGTGATTAAAAACCCACAAAAAAAACCCAAAACGCCACACAAATGCCCCATGAGCAGCAGTAAACAAATTGTGTGTTTGTACATACGTTGCAACTGAGCACTGCTGCTTATTCTAGCTGCACATGACAGTGTGTTAACAGTTTCCATGAAGTAAACTGCTTGCCTGTATGTGTTGCAGCTACCGGAAGATTTCTGGGGACACTTGTACAGGTGGAGACATCGAGTCGCGGCTCGAAGGGGAGCTGGTACCGTGCCCGCTAGCTGGTGAGTATGTGCAGGATTGCTGTGGGCACAAGGGCTTCATTCATAAAACCTTTAGCTGGTGCCCGAGGGACCACGCACAAATTCCCAGAGGTCTCTTGGACAAAACCTATGACACAGGAGCTCAAATGCCTCGGTGGGTTACAAATCCATCATCTCCTGTCCTGTCCAGGGCCCAGGGAGCTTCTGAAGGACCTGCTCAGGAGCAGCTTCAGCCTGGGTTCAGAGCCCTTTCTGCTCCTGAAGTCTCAGGAGGCTGAAGCCCTCAAAGCAGGCTGCAGGCAGGAACCCTCTTACCCTGGTCACGTCCTTGCTGTAGCAGGCTTGAACCCAACCAGAAAGACAGGAGTTGGACCAAAGATACTACATTCTGCAGAAACCCTTGGGAAGGTACCACCCTGAGACAGGCCACCGTACACACTGGGACGATGACTATTTGGGGCCAGAGCAGGGCAGACGCTGCCCTTCAGTCCTCGTGCCTGTGCCCACCAGACTTCGCCTCCCTCCTTTTCTCCTCTCAGACATATGAGGCACTGAAACGGTCTCTTGCCCCCGTACTGCCAAAGTTATTTGCATTCTGCTCATTACAGCTTTAATTTAATCTGCCGTCACGAGCTGTGTGATTAGCATGCCGCCGCGCAGCAGCTCCAGAGTGAGCCCGAGATGGGAAGAGGCTTGTGTAAGGGATGGGGCAGCTGAGCCGGCGCTGTGGGCAGGGTGAGCCCGGGGCCACGGCTGAGTGGAGTCACAGGGCTGCAGAGCAGCCAGCCCTGCCAGCGTGAGGTTTCCCTGCACCATCCTAAGATTTTTCAGGCTGCAGAAGATATTCCAGGTGCAAAAAGGCCCAACGGGCACGTGGGGAAGCGTTCTCTCTGCTGGAATTCAAGCCAATGCCATACTCAGTTTTCCTCCTCATTCGGAGCGTGACATGTTATTCACCCCTCCGAGCCCTCTTGAGTTATTTGGAGAGCTGTGTTAGTCACGCTGAGAAGGGCCCTGCTGACAGAAAAATAAACCTGCCGTCCCCACCGGGCTGGGCTTTGAAGTGCCGTGTTCCCAGAGTATTTGCTGATGCTCTTCAGCTACGTGTTGGCTCGTACCATGGTAACACTTTCATATACTGTATCTGTTTTGTATCTCCGTATAATCTCATTAGCGATGCACAGCCAGAGTTACTTACTGACATTAGCTTTACTCATTAATAGCATTATTGGACTTTACTGGTAGTGTGCTAATGCCCGGGAGACTTTGTCCCGGACCAGGATCCCATTACGCTCGATTCCGTGCAAATTAGAAACAAAACCCGCTCTGGGACATTTACCGCGGTGCCGATGTCCCCTAGGACTCGCAGATTTACATCACTCCCACCTTTTTTATGAGATTTTCGAGGAACAGGAGATCAGTATTTTGTTTCTAATTGGCGGCACACTAACGTGGGAAGGAAGGGGTCACGACGGTTTTTGCCGTCCTTACCTCCTCCTTCAGCCCCTGGAACAAACAACGGCCGCAGTGTGTTCCCGGGCACGAGCGCGCGGGACCTGCGTAAGGCTATTAGCGCGTTCTCATTAACCTGATCCCGCTGAGACAAAGGCCCTTTGCCTCTGTTACGCTGAGGTGCTAAAACGTGCAGGCAGGGGCAAGACAAAATACCTGGTATTTTCTTTTTGCCCCTCGAGTAGTGTAAAGTGGCCAGAGGCGTCTAAACAAGGCACTCCCTGTTCTTGCAGAGGAGAATGAGTTCATTCTCTACGCCACCCGCTACTCCATCCACCGCTACGACCTCGCCTCCGGCGTCAGCGAGGAGCTGCCGCTGGCTGGGCTGCGAGGGGCCGTCGCCCTGGACTTCGACTACGACCACAACTGCTTGTACTGGGCAGATGTCACTCTTGACATTATACAGGTGAGTCGCGGGGCAGAGAGGCTGCCGCGGTCTCTGCCATCGCTCCTCGCACCGTGGGAGGGTGTTCCATACACACCCTGAAGTACAAATGTTTATCTTGGGTACTCCTCTCTGAGCTGTCTGTTATGGCTTACCGCGCTCGCCTTGAGCAAGCGGAAGTTCCTTGTCTTCTGATATCATTATACTATTATATTCTGAAAAAATTCTGGTATTTTTTTCAGCGTCTTTGTCTCAATGGCAGCTCTGGACAAGAAATAATCATAAGCACCGGGCTGGAAACGGTGGAAGCTTTGGCCTTTGAACCTCTGAGTCGGTTGCTGTACTGGGTCAATGCTGGGATTCCCAAAATTGAGGTATGGCTGTGCCCGCCCGTGCTACAGAGAGGTGATTTTGAGGTAGCTGGACCCTAAGTTGGCTGCTGCCCTGACGTCTCATTCCTGGTGGGGCATTACTGAACGCTGACCCTCAGTCCCGCATGCCACTTCATGGGATCTAAACACTAACAGGGTAGGAGAACATTGAGCCCTGTGTACTTAAACCGAGGTCGGTTTGTGAGGCTGAATCGCGCAGCAGAAACGGGGGAAAAAAGCAACACCCTTGTGCAGCACGCGCAGCCAGAGCAGGGTCCAGACAGGGCGCCGTGGCAGCCAGCTGCTCGCTCAGTCACACGGAAACGTCAGTAAATACACCGACCTGTTCTCTTGTATCACCTGCCTTACCGTAACTGCTCCCCGTGCCCACGGCAGCTGTTTTGTTAGGGAGCAGTAATTACCCACCGCAGATTTCTTGTAGCTTTCACCAGTGCGATTGCCCTCTGCACTGCCGGCAGTAAACGCACCCTTCCCTGGTTTTGGTTACAACTCTAGGTTGCCAATCCCGACGGAGACCTGCGACTCACCGTCCTCAATTCCTCCATACTTGAACGACCCAGAGCCCTCGCTCTGGTTCCCCGAGACGGGTAAGGAAGGAAGCATTGCAAGTAGTTGGGTGCCTTAGTATTCCCCTGGGGAACTGAGCAGGTGCTGCCCCTCCTGCGTTGTAAGAGGCGAGGGAGGGGAGAGCGCTGCACGGATGGCTTTCCAAGGCTCGGCCCTGAAGGCAGCACTGGGGGAATGGGAGCAACGGCAGGGGTACAGCTCACAGTCCTGCCCCGTGGAGCCCACTCTTGCCATCGTGTGCCCAACGAAGGCGCCAGCTGCCTCAGAGCAGAGGTCACAAACTGGTTTTTTTTTGTTCCATTGAACTGCTGTTTTCCTACCCGTACATACCCACTAGTAAATAACTTTTCTTGCCAGTAAAACTGGTCTGGTCAGTGGGGAAAGCTGCAGTGATGCATGAGAAACTGAACTGCGCTCAAATTCAAGAGCCAAATGCAAGTTACATCTTTCTGAGCACAGTTTTGCTGTGCTGCAAACATCACACTTACAAACCTGAGCTGTCTTCAGCGTACGTGCTATAGCAGAGCAGTTCAGGGCAAGGTACCTTACAGCTGCACTCGCACCGTGGATCCTGCAGCTAAATAAGCCTGTGCTGCTTGTAGATCTGCCAGTGGCGTTCATTGGAATTGCAAAGAGCTCCCTTTCCAAAGGCATGTCTTGCGAGAGACGTGGAATGTGAAGTGTTCAACCCTCTGCTGCTTAACCTCTTTCCTTTGGATGAGCTGTTTGTTATTTTTTCAAGCAACCTCTCTGCCTGTTGTCAGGTTGATGTTCTGGACAGACTGGGGAGACTCCAGAGCTGGCATTTACAGAAGTGACATGGACGGGTCGTCGGCCAGCTGCATCGTTTCAGAGGGTGTGCGGTGGCCAAATGGCATTTCTGTGGATGACCACTGGATCTACTGGACTGAAGCCTATATGGACAGGATCGAGAGGGTCGATTTCAACGGGCTGCAGAGATCTGTGATCCTGGACAGCCTCCCTCACCCCTACGCTATTGCTGTATTTAAGGTACGTAGAGGTGGCTCCTTTCCCATCAGTATATGCGTTTCCATAGCATACACACTCGGAGGTGGTTGTGCGTATAGGGTGGGCAGCGGAAGAGAAAATGAGCGCGCTGGATTCGGGGGGTGGGAGGTGGCGTGACGCTTGCTCTATTTCTGCTCCTGGCATGTTCCCACACCCCCCTGCAACAAGCCAGCAGGTGCACTTGAAACCGGGACCAACATCCAAGAGCCATGCCGGTTTCCCAGGCAGCTGCCCTGCGCTGTCTTCCCCACACTTTGCCACTCAGCAGATGTGACTGCTGCTTCCCTTCCTGCTCGAGTCCCCGCTCAGGTCTTCCTCATCTTCCTCCCCTTGCGTCAGGGTGACTTTGCTCTCTTGATTGCCTGGCTCATCCGGGCTTCTAGGGCAGCTCAGTGCAGATATCTGCTGACAAGCGGGGCCCCAGCAGCAGTGCTCCTTGTGCTAAGAGCAAAGCCTGTGTTTCAGAATGAGATCTACTGGAATGACTGGTCACAGCTGAGTATTTTCAGAGCATCCAAAAACAGCGGCTCAAAGATGGAGGTCTTAGTCGGCCGATTAAATGGGATCATGGATATGAAAATCTTTTACAGAGGAAAGACAACAGGTAATTGCGTGAGCGTGCAGATGATCTTTCCTGCTATTCAGGAGTGTGTTCATCTCCCGTTTCCACAGGTTCCCAGGCCACCGCGCCATCCCAGCTCACATTTCATGAGCCTGAATATATCCCCGTTCCTGCAGGGTTCAAAGCACTCAGGCGCTGTCACAGGGAATGTGTTTTGGGAGCGGTGCGCCTGGCTTCTTGGCTGCCAGGAGATACTCCCCATCCCTTTGTAGTTTAGGTCACAGGCTATGGCCTCTCCATGCAAAGTGCTGTATGGGCCAAAAAAATATAGGGTCTCAGAGCTGCACCAACTTTGTCCTCCACTTAGTTGTCCATCTAGGCTGTGATAAGGTAGTAGCAGCTCCTGCGTGATGAATGTGCTGAAGGAATTGGCTTCATTTTCAGATAAGTAGAAGACCAGCAAAGGGCTTTGCCAGCCAGCAGCCTGCAAGAGACTGGGAGGACCTTTAAGGGCCTCAGTCTCCCTGCAGGAGGTGGCCCTGTGCGTTTCTAAGCCCAGCCTCAGCACTCGGCACTGCAGAGCTGTCTCCTTACAGGGGTCTGAACCCAAAGTCTGGGATGGCAGGTGAAACTGGTGTCTCCAGACCTCTGTCCTGACAATGTCCCCTTCCCTGCTGCTCTCACGCCAGGGGAGAACGCCTGCATCAGCAAGCCCTGCAGCCTGCTCTGCCTGCCCAAGTCGAACAACGGCAGGAGCTGCAAGTGCCCCGAGGGGGTGTCCAGCACCCTGCTGCCCACAGGGGAGGTGAAGTGCGACTGTCCTCACGGCTATGTCATGAAGAACAACACTTGCATAAAGGAAGGTAAAACCACACTTGGTTCTTGCCACTGTTTTATGTTGAGAGGAGGCTTCTGCCATTGGAAGAGGTCGGCACGACCTTTCCACTGCCCTGTGGGTGAGGAGGAGTACAGCCTGTCTTCTAAAAGCACAGCATCATGCCTCGTGCCAGCTTGTTTTTGTTTTCCCTTTTGCACCAGAAAACACGTGTCTGCCGAACCAGTACAGATGCTTCAATGGGAACTGCATAAACAGCATTTGGCAGTGTGACAACGACAATGACTGCGGGGACATGAGCGATGAGAAGAACTGCCGTAAGTGTCCTGCGGTGGCATTCGCCCGTCCAAATTTAGATGTCTGCTGTGTCGGCGTTGCACCTGAGCCCATGGTCTGCACTCCCTTCATAGTTCTGGAGAGCAAGAGGTGCTCTGGGGGTGCGACTCATCTCCTCCTTTGGTCGACATCTGAAGCCGGTCAGATGAGTTGTGTCCTGCAAGGGCCAATATTTCTCCCTTGACCAGCTTGGGTGTAAATGTCTAAAATTTGGGGAGACTGATACCAGCTCTCATGTGAGGGCATGTTTGTCTCTTGCAGTAATTGTCTTCTGAGGCCAATTGAGGGCACAGCCAATGCCAAGGGAAAGAGACTTTCTGTCTGCGTCGTGCGGACACAGGCCTCTTGTTGAGCTAATAATTCAAGTTCATACAATAAAGGTGGAGATCACCTTTTTGAGTAAAATCAGGGACTGCCATTAGGGAGGGGCAGACGTTCCACAGCTTTGCAGTGCCTGAAGGGTTTGGATTGGAGCGCTGTGGAAGAAGAGCCGAGTTTAAAGTTAGGAATCAGTGGAGGACGAGGTGTTCCTGGAGAGATGCTATTCATGCCCGTTTTGTTCTGATAAGGAGCGTATTTTCAGGCCAACACTGAGATACCGGTCAGCAGAGTCCAAGTTTGAGTTCGCTGCCTGGCACCAGGTGAGGGAAGGCCTCTGTGGGTACCCGTTCCTCTGCACGGGGCCACCAGTTTGGTACAGGGATGCTGCCTTGGATAGCAACGCTCATGCCCAGCTTTTCCCTGCCTTTGGCTGCTGTGTCTCATCCCACCACCTGCGGTTTCAAGACCCCTTTGTGAGGAGCAGGCAGCTCTACAGCCTCGGCTTTCATGCTCCCTGGCAGGGAGGCACTGCCCCTGGCTCCGGAGTGGACATGGCAGTGGCAGGAGCTCCAGCTCTGACCCCCAGCCAGCCAGCTAACCCTTCTCTGCTCTGCTTTACGCAAAGTGCCCAATAATGATGTTAAAATACAGCAACAGTAACTCAGGCTGCATTGAGCAAAGCTCGCAGGGTGCTGTCCCTCTCCCTTCACTTCCCTGCACCGTGTACAAGCACTCAGACAGCAGAAGGAGTTTTCTAACCACCACCTTCTCCTCCTTCTCCTCTCCCTCCCTGCTGCGTTAGCCACCACTGTGTGTGACACCGAGACCCAGTTCCGCTGCCAGGGCTCGGGGACCTGCATCCCACTGTCCTACAAATGTGACCTGGAGGACGACTGCGGGGATAACAGCGATGAAAGCCACTGCGGTGAGTGCCCTCGCTCAAACCTCCTTCCCTGTTCCTGCGCAAGGGCGGAAAGCTCAGCAGTGTTTTGGGGCAGGGTGCGACTCATAGATGCTGTAAGGCTTCGCTAGATCCCCCTGTTTGTCGCGGCTAACAGCCACCTCCTCCCATCGTTTACTGGATTCTGGGAAACGAGGGACAGGAGAAGAGAGTGAGGCCATGCACTGGTTCTCCCCCCTCTGTGGTCCAGCAGGGAGCCTTCTGTGCTGCTGTCATCCACCTCTGCTCCTTGGGTACTTCTGTGACCCGAAGCCAAATATTTGGTAGAGACTACAAGCTGACCTTGGGCAGCTGCCCGGCAAGTGCACGAGAGGCGTGGGTTGCTCGGCCTTGGCATGTTTGTGGCCATCCACCTCCAGCTTTGCCGTTCGGAGAGGCAGGGTGCTGAGCTGAAGGAGGGAAGAGCTGGTAAACAGCAAGGTGGTAGCTCTTGGTCGGTCAGGGCTAGGGACGAGGCAGGAAAACGTGCTTTCAAGATGAGTCTGCTTTGCGGGGCTATCTAGTCTGTTGCCTCTGAGATATCAGCCTCCTCTCCTCAGTCAACAGCCTGTGTGAAGCTTTTCTCCTCCTCTTCCCTGGCCCCGACGACATCTGAACTGTGCGTGCTTCTTTGCAGAGTCTCACCAGTGTAGAAATGACGAATTCAGCTGCAGCTCAGGGATGTGCATTCGTCTCTCCTGGATGTGTGATGGTGATAACGATTGCAGGGACTGGTCCGATGAGGCGAACTGCACTGGTAAGCACTTTGATGTGATCGTGACCTTCTGTTGCAAACACCCGTTACTTAACAGCCCAGGGTGCTGGAAGACATTGGCCAACGTCTTGTGCCTCAGTTTCCCTGCTTGTTAGGTGAGCCACCCAGCCTGGCAGCCTGTAGTTCATCTCGGAGTGATGTAATGCTCCAAAAGCAGAGAGTTTCTTTCCTCCAGTGCCTTCAACAGGCCTTAGGGCTCACTGTGAATTTGCTGACAGCTTTGCAATGCTCTCAGAGTGATCCAGCTTTGCTTTTTACTTGCAAGATTGCACGGACAGGTGTGCTCTGCCGCGGTGGCCGCAGCCGGTGGTGGCTGTGCCTTTGAAGCTCCATTGAATGGGAACGCGGGTCGGTGCTGCCGGACAGCCAAAGGATGCTTCTGTGCAAAAAGGGCTCCCTTGTTGCACGGAGGCAGCGAACAGACCAGTGTGCACCGTTCGTGTTTCACAGCTTGAACTCTGGCTGTTTCCTTGCCATTGAACACATGGCAGAAAACAGGTGTGGGCTTTGCAGGTTCTCCACAATTAATTGATCCGAAGGGAGGCCAGTTTAGTTCAGGAAGTGTCTCCTCTTCTCGCAGCCTCACTTTGCTCCGTGGGTTTGAAAATTTAAAGAGGGTGTTACGAGTACAGAGTCACACATAGAAGATCCCCTCTTGGTTTTGCTTACAGTTCATACTGATGCAAGGCCGTTGCCAGAAATACTATTGCTCCTAGCTTAACCTCTCGTGCAGCAAGTCCTGCACCTGTGAGCCTCCTTCTCTGTTTGCAGTTGAAAGTCACAACACTCAACCGGCCCCCGCACCGCGGTGTAAAACTGATGTTCCTCAGCAGTCTCCTGAGGCTAACACCCAGATAGAGCCTTCTTCTCATTAGAAAAGCCAACAGATAACAACGTATGAGTCTTTTCCATTAAACAAACAAACAAACAAACAAACCCCCCAAAAAACAACCAAGCCAAAAACCTAAGTATTTGCATGAGAAGTCAGTTCTGAGGGTCAGCGGTGCTTCAGTCCATCAGTGAAAGACACAAGATCTTACTTGTAAAGCAACACAGGGGATATTTCGAGATAAAAGCAGTGGTTTCCATGCCACGTGGCTGAGATCAGCCCGTCAGAGCAGACGGGCTGATGGGGCCTGGGGACCCCTGTGGGGACCACGAGAGCCCCCAGTGACACCAGCAGCGGCTTTGCCCTGGCTGCAGCCCCGGAGCTGTTGTCGTGGGGCTCTGGCACAAGGATCACAGAGATCCCTTTCAGGCCTCTGAGCTCCTGCGTACCCACCCCTGCGGCATTCGGTGTGCCTCAAGCATGTGGGGTTTAGAGCACGGCACTGGGGATCCTGGTCATTAGTATTCCGAGTGCGTGGCTGTATAAGGAGGTTTAATTTATATTGGTATCACTTATCTCTCGTATGAGTTTCTCCAGAGAGAATTACTACAGGAAAGGAACTACTTCAAAAAGCGTACTGGGTGTGTAAAGCCTAAAGTTGAAATTATCTAAGAGGATCACAATTATTTAAGAAACATTTCATCTGACTCCACCGGCTGCAATTATTGCTCTTATCTAAAATAATTACATTTCATGCTGAATACCTAATAGAATATTACTGCCACAAGATTGTAGTATTTTGAAATATCTGCAAGTGCATGTCACTCGCTAACCTAAAATTCAGTAGCATGCAATTTAATTAAGTTGAACATTGCTTTTCTTCTCAAAAACGATGAGTGCTCTCCTGGTTGAAGAGCGATATTTGTCTCTAAAGTGACAACGCAAGCCTGGGCTTCAACCAAGATACCCCACAGGCAGATACTTTCGTGACGGGAGCCTAAGGAAAACCAAGGCCCTTCTCCCTTGGAAATCCAAGGGGAATTATATCTCTAATTTGCTTTGGCAACATGGTAGAGCCTCGCCTGCCTTAATTAAAGGCCGTCTCGGAGTCTGTCCTGTCCTGCATGGGTGATCCTGCTGCTCCGCCAAGGCTCACTCGCTGTGATGTTTCTTGCCATCTCTGGCAAGATGCCACCAGTGTCACCTTTGCCTACACACAGCAAGGACCGAAATCAAAGAGAAAGAGGCTCCTGACTTTGGGAGAGCTTTAAGAGTGCTCCCCAGCCTCAGAAAGCCTTCCCTGAGGCACAGCAGGCTGCTGAGCGAGTACAGCATGGAGAGGAAAAGACCACAGCATGACCCAGGGAGGACCTGGACTCACGGCAATCTCTTGCCTGGTGTCCCTGGGGTGGTCACTCGTGCTCTGGAGCTGTGCTCAGCACTGGGACGTGCCACGGCACAAAGTCCTGGCACGGGCAAAGGGAGCGGGGGTGCGTGGCGGTGGGTCCGACTCGCCGTGTGCCGCACCCCGCGCTCAGGCGGTGCCCCCGGCTCTGGTTTCAGCAGTATATCACACCTGCGAGGCATCCAGCTTCCAGTGCCAGAACGGCCACTGCATCCCGCAGCGCTGGGCCTGCGACGGCGACGCCGACTGCCAGGACGGCTCCGACGAGGACCCCGCCAACTGCGGTAACGCGCGCCACGTGCAGAGGGGGGTCTGCAGCGGGGCAGGAGGGGTTTCTGCAAACCCAAGGGGACGGTTCCCGTCCCTCCAAAAGCAAGCAGGTGCAGGGAGAAGGCACGTGGAGCTGTGCTGTGGCTTTTTGTAGCTAACTAAATGCAGCTTTAAAAAAAAACATGCTACATCCACACAATTCTGAATTTCAGAAAAAAAGTGCAACGGCTTCCAGTGCCCGAATGGCACTTGCATCCCAACCAGCAAACACTGCGACGGCATCAATGACTGCTCCGACGCCTCGGACGAGCAGCACTGCGGTGAGTCCCGGGTCTGCAGGGAGCTGGCGGGGCCCCGGCAGCGAGGGCTGACAGCCTTCACGGTCTGCAAAGCCTGTCTCGCTGGGAGAAAAGCCCTGGTGAGATAATGGGAAAGCCTTAGTTAGCATTCACAAGCCCCTGGGAAATCAGCGGGTCCGTGAGTGTCAGCAAAAGGCCCAGCAGGCAGGGCTGGGACAGACAGGGAGGGCACACGCTGTCAGGAGCTGTGTTCAGGGAGGTGACCAAATCCTTCCTGACGACTGTGCCAACCCGCCTGCACCCTGATGCGTTGTCAGGCGAGGGCAGCCTGTGCAGGGACAGGGCTCGAGCGATTTGTGTTGGAAACTTTCTGTAACTTCATGAAAACCGGCCGCTGCGCTCAGGCCTGTGTCGATCACAGTGGGTGGCGTCCCTGGTGCCAGGGATGGCAGAGGTGCCATGCCCTCCTCTCCTCACCTCCCGTTTCTCCAGAACCCCTGTGCACCCGCTACATGGATTTTGTGTGCAAGAACCGGCAGCAGTGCTTGTTCCACTCCATGGTGTGTGATGGCATCATCCAGTGTCGAGACGGATCAGATGAAGACGCCAACTATGCTGGCTGCTGTAAGTGTGTTATTGTGCAGCTTTGCAAAAGGAGGGTTGGACAGAATGAAACCAGAGGCATGGAGAGGAAAGTGCATTCCCCAGGATACCAGAAAACTGCCAGATCTCCTAAGAGGTGGCTCTGGACTGTCATGCTGTGCTTATAAATCCATGATTGCCTCCGAGTGTGCTGCTTCCTTCCTCTTCAATGATGAGCTTCCCTCAAGCCCTTGGACTTTACACTAAACCTCTGATGTCTCTCTGTCCCACCCCTGCAGCTCAGGACCCCGAGTTCCACCGGACCTGTGACCAGTTCAGCTTCCAGTGCCAGAACGGCGCGTGCATCAGCCTGGTGTGGAAGTGTGATGGGATGGATGACTGCGGTGATTACTCTGACGAAGCAAACTGTGGTGAGCAGTACCTCAGGGTCTGTTGTCACCTTAATTCCAGCCTCCTCCGAATTTCAGGAGCACAGAGTACTGGCTTCTTCATGTTTTACATACACACGAGTGTATGTACATATACGTGTGTGTAGCATTCTGTTTGCACATTGCAGGGTGTCTTACATGGAGATCAGTATCGTTTTCCTCATATTGCAGGAAGATAAACTGAAGCGCACTGAAAATCCAATACGACTGGCACATCCTGTGCTTGACTAAGTCTTATGTGACCATATTTACTCCACAGATTCCCAGCCTAAAGCAGACGGGCAGTTTCCAGCCAAACTCAATATTTACCGCTGTTCTCTGCTAGTTGGAGGAGCTGTACCCAGCCAGACGAAGCAGCTGTGTCTTCATTTCAGAGTTGCAGGGTTTGCTTCTCTGCTTCTGCTGTGCTCTGTCTGAATTTCGCTCTCAGCTCTGGTTCTCAGATCGTAGATGGTGTCTGGCCATGAGATGCCTGTGTGTAACAGGCTAGCGAGGGCTGTAAGGAATGGGGATGCTGGAGATGAAGAGAAAGGACCCTGCCTCTGCTGCTCGGGGGAATAGACAGGGTGATGCTCTCTGGACCAGCCGTAACCTGGCCTGAGACTCTCCCACACCGCAGCTGTGCTGAAGACAGGTGAAATAATGTTGGGACTCACAGCACTCTCCTCTCATTGTCAGAAAACCCGACAGAGGCCCCGAACTGCTCCCGGTACTACCAGTTCCAGTGCGGGAACGGGCACTGCATCCCCAACCGGTGGAAGTGCGACGAGGAGAACGACTGCGGGGACTGGTCCGACGAGAAGGAGTGCGAGGGTGAGGGCACACGCTACGCTGCTCTGCTTGCGGGAGCCCTGGCCAAGGCTGGGCTGTGGTGTGCTGAAGGACCGCTCAGCACCAGTTGCCTTCTCACAGCTAGCCCCTGTGGCTCCAAAGATGCCCCGTGAACAGGCTGTGTGCCCACTCTCATGCATCTTTTTACTCTGTGTTTTTGGAAATCCTGATCAGGAGCTGTGCAGGTACAATGCAGATGAAAACACTGGGTTTGTAACGCCTTGCCTGCTCCCTGTTTCCCTCTGCTGATAGTGGCTTTCATTCTGCTGGGACCAGGCACAGCTTACAGCCCGTACATAGGAGCAGGCCTCTCAGATCAGCTCTCAATGTGTATTTTTAGGTTCTCCGGTTCATCCCGTTACTACATCAATCCCACCGACGTGTTTGCCGAATCACTTCCGTTGCAACAGCGGCGCCTGCATCATGAACAGCTGGGTCTGCGACGGGTACAAGGACTGCACCGACGGCTCCGACGAGGAGGCCTGCCCTACTTCGCGTAAGCTTTTCTCTTCCTCACGCCCCTTTTCCTTTTCCTGTAGGATCGCATCTGCAAGGACTCTGGGCCTTTCAGTCTCAAATCCTTGCCAGATCACAGGGTTAAATTACACCGTGGTGTAAAAGCCCACTGTCTCCTCTCTCCCTGAGGTCACACCTCCTGCCACGAGCTGGGACAACTGCTCCAGCCCCGCAGGCAGCGGGAATCCATGCCGGAGCAGGTCCCTGCTCAAACGCCAGCGTGTCTCGAGCTGTGTAGGGGCACGGAAAGCGGGGCTGCAGGCTGGGCTTCCAGCTCACACCTATGCTGAAGGTAGAAGAGGGTTTCTCCTGGCTGCTGTCCTTGCGGACCCGCGCGCCGCTGCAGGACATCCCCTGCAAACCAGTTGCTTTTCCATCCCTCTGCAGTCGGGAGAGAGGACGGCTTGGGCATGGTCCCAGCAGGAGCCATTTACCTGCTAGATGGGAAGAGATTGCCATCTAGTGGAGTCGGGACCTGGGGACAGGTTTTGGTCCCTGCCGGTGGCAGCGGTGGTTTTGCCCTGCGTTGGGTGGTTTCCTCACTCACCGCTGTGTGCAGGACCCAACGTGACGGCCACCTCCCCGGCGCTCCCGGGACGCTGCAGCAGGTTCGAGTTCGAGTGCCAGCAGCTGCACAAGTGCATCCCCAACTGGAAGCGGTGCGATGGGCTGCGGGACTGCCAGGACGGCACAGACGAGAGGAACTGCCGTAAGTATGGGGAGGGGAGAGCGTCTCGCCAAATGGGAAGCTCTTTGTGAGGATGGGGGGGACACCAGAGAGTTTTCTTGCTGGTGGAATCCATGCAGTAAAGGCAGTGTTATGGCAGAAAAGGACAACAAAAGCCCAAACAACCAGCGTCCTTCCCATTAGAAGTCTGGTGGTTGTTCTCAGTGGGATAAGGTCCAGCTCCTCTGATACCACCATGTGTGATTGTGCCAGAAGACGCAGCCAGAATGAGATAGCACTATGACAGACACGCTCAGCCTGGGCTCCATCCCTGACATGTGGCCACCCCAGCATCATGCCTGCTTCTGAAGCTGTGATGCCAGCGCTGGCACTGCGAACAGCCCAGTGCTGGTGAGGAACTTTCCTGCCTCGAGTCCTGAAACCGTTCTGCCTCTTTCAGCTACTCACAGCACCCTGTTGTGCCCTAACGGTTTTAAATGTGAGGACGGAGAGGCCTGCATTATGGCGACAGAGCGGTGTGATGGATACCTGGACTGCTCAGACAGCAGCGATGAGAGAAACTGCACTGGTAAGCAGCAGCCCTCTCCCATTCCTCACGCCCTGCTCTGTGTTAGCACACGGAGGTGCTCTCCTGGCTACGTGGCCTTTCATTCACAACGTCCCAGATGTATCTGCCTCTGTTCAGTTGTCCGAGTTACCTCCTCACCCATTTATAACCAGCTTATACTTCCCGGCCAGTTTCTACACTGACAATTTGTTTTCCAGCATCCTCAGACACAGAAAAACAACTGTAGGACAGGTAGGAGGCAAAGCTGTCTATTTTACATGGCTCACGGGTCTCCAGCTCTGTCCTCCTTTGCAAAGTGACCCTGGGAGCCATGGCACGTGTCCTGCCACTGTCACTGGTCCTCCCACACTGGCCTTCGGTGGCCCGCAGAGGCAGGCGGGACGCACACCGCAGCCCGCCCGGGGTAGATAACAGCGATCGATCGCTGTCTCTCGCCAGCCGTGAGATTCAGCCGCTTTCCTGCGGAACTGCTTAGGGGTTGGAGCATCAATCAGGTTTTAGTTCTTTAATTAGATATTGATTGGGAGAGGCTAGCGGGTTCAGGGGAGGGGGAAGGAGCTGCGGAGTTTCACAGCTCGGCTGCTATGCCGAGGGGAACCCATCTCTTTGCCCTCGGATAGCTTGTCTTGCCCTGCCTGCCCGCAGACCCACGCTGGTAAGTGCCTCTCCCAAAGTCAGGCAGCGATTCAGCCACAGAGCTCGTGTCAAGGCAATCCCCAGGCTCCTGTCTTAATTACCAGCCTTTGCTTGGCTCCTTCTGCTGAACGCGAGATGTGATAAGGAAAAGCAGACACAGAAGGGCCCTAGGTGGCTTACGGTGACAGCACGGATTCGTCACACAAGTTGTAGGGTGACTTAGCTTGCACTGATCGGTTTGCACTCACACGCTTCCAAAACTATATTACAGAGTATTTCATCAACAGCCGTGCCTTATATTTCCTTGGGGGAAAAGGGGTGTTTGCATGATGCAGCATAAACAACAAAGATATTTTGAGGAGAGCTAAGAGCACCAGGGGTAC